AGGAGCTGTATTAAGCCAGTTACATTTAAACTCTCTGTGGGTGTGAAACTCAAAAAAGAAAGGTTGTTGACAGGAAATTGTAAGTTTGGGAGGTCCTGAGGATAGAAACGGAAATGAAATGTAGCCTGTACGCAGAGGAGAGTAAGATGTGAGGGCCACACAGGCCAAGGCTCTCAGAAAATTCCATAGTTAACGGTCACATAGAAGAGGGAGAATTGGCCAAAGAGTAGAAAAAGGAGGGACAGAGTGGAAGGACAACAGAACGTGGTGTCTCAGAGGGCAAGGAAAGAGCGTCAGTCAGGAAGGGCCTCGTGAAGAGCGTCATGTGCTCAGAGGCTTCGGGAGAGAGAAAGCCCGAGAAGTGTCTGTCAGATTCAACCCCTCAGGGTCACTGGTGATCTCCGTGGGAACAGTTGCTCAGAAGGGGCAGGAGGGATGGAGCTACAGGATGGATGGGAGATGAGGAAGAGCAGAAGATGAGCATCGACAGCTATTTCAAGAACTCCGGGGACAGAGACCATAGATGTAGAAAGATGTGGGCCCAAAGAAGCGATTATGCTGATTTTTACCTTTTTTTTTTTTTTTTTTTTGAGACAGAGTCTCGTTTTGTTGCCCAGGCTAGAGTGCTGTGGTGTCAGCCTAGCTCACAGCAACCTCAAACTCCTGGTCTCAAGCAATCCTCCTGCCTCAGCCTCCCGAGTAGCTGGGACTACAGGCATGCGCCACCATGCCTGGCTATTGTTTTTCTATATATATTAGTTGGCCAATTAATTTCTTTCTATTTATAGTAGAGACGGGGTCTCGCTCTTGCTCAGGCTGGTTTCGAACTCCTGACCTCGAGCCATCCGCCCACTTGGTCTCCCAGAGTGCTAGGATTACAGGCATGAGCCACCGTGCCCAGCCTTTACTTTTTATTATAAACATTTTCAGACATGCAAAACATTTAGAGCGTATAGTCATCAGTTAGATGTAACAACGATTAACATTTTACCGTGTCTGCATCATTTTTTTTCCTGAAGTATGTCAGAGTAAATCACAGACCCAGCATCTCCTGTCTCATGACTTAAATACAGTTCTCTGAAACATGGCGACGTCTTGCACCCACAGAGTTGACAGGAATTCCTCAGCATCACCAGGCACCCAGCTGAGGGCACAGTCGGGCAGCCTCGGTTTCCCAGGAAATGTTCCTTTCAAGCCAGGATCCAGCGAGTGCCAGACAAGTGTGTCTTTGCAGTTGAGCGAGTGTTTTGGGGTTTTGTTTCTGTTTGTTTTGGGAGAGAGACTTTAGCATGTTTAAACACTGTTGAGAAGCTGCCAGTGGAGGGAGGTAGGGAGGGAGAGAGAAAGAGATCGAGGATCCCAGACTAGGGGGGGGGGGTGTCTAAAAACCCGACAGGACGGGTCCCAGCGTGGCTGGAGAGATTGGACTTGGAAGGCACCCCCTTCTCCCCTCATGCCAGAGCACGGGGCAGGTGGGGAACCTCCTTTCCGTGCTGGGACATCAGGAAACCAAGGCCACTCCCTTCCGATGGGTGCGTCCTCTCTTTCCCTGTGAAGTGGGATAAGTTGCACACAGACAAGAGCCAAGTGTCTCTGCAGCCCCACTCACAGTGCCGGGCGCGTGTGTAATGGCCCCTGTCCACCAAGACCCGAGGCCTCTCTGTGGTTCTGCACATTTTAATCAAAGAGACATTTTCTCCTGGTGGGATTTTTAAAAGATAGTCCAAGATGAAATATACATAACCTAAACATTTGTACCCCCATAATATGCTGAAAGAAACAAAGCCACTCACCACCTAGGGGACCTGGGGGAAAAAAAAGATAGTCCAAGATGAGAATAGAAACTATTAGAACTCTAGAGGAAAAAGTTGGAAACACTCTCCTAGACATCGGCCTGGGCAAAGAGTTTATGAAGAAGTCCCCAAAGGCAATCACAGCAGCAACAAAAATAAATAAATGGGACATGATCAAACTACAAAGCTTCTGCACAGCCAAAGAAATAGTCATGAAAGTAAACAGACAACCTACAGAATGGGAGAAAATTTTTGCATCCTATGCATCCGATAAGGGACTGATAACTAGAATATACTTAGAACTCACGAAAACCAGGAAGAAAAAAAATCAAATAACCCCATTAAAAAGTGAGCAAAGGACTTGAACAGAAACTTTTCTAAAGAAGACAGAAGAATGGCCAACAAACATATGAAAAAATGCTCAACATCTCTAATCATCAGGGAAATGCAAATCAAAACTACAATGAGATATCACTTAACCCCAGTGAGAATGGCCTTTATCAAAAAATCTCCAAACAATAAATGCTGGCGTGGTTGCGGAGAGAGAGGAACACTCCTACACTGCTGGTGGGACTGCAAACTAGTTCAACCTCTGTGGAAAGCAATATGGAGATACCTTCAAGCGATACAAGTGAATCTACCATTTGATCCAGCAATCCCATTGCTGGGCATCTACCCAAATGATCCAATGACACTCTACAAAAAAGACACCTGCACTCGAATGTTTATAGCAGCACAATTCATAATTGCAAGGCTGTGGAAACAGCCCAAGTGCCCATCCATCCAAGAATGGATTAATAAAATGTGGTATATGTATACCACGGAGTACTATTCAGCTCTAAGAAACAATGGTGATATAGCACATCTTATATTTTCCCGGTTAGAGCTGGAACCCATACTACTAAGTGAAGTATCCCAAGAATGGAAAAACAAGCACCAGATATATTCTCCAGCAAACTGGTATTAACTGAGTAGCACCTAAGTGGACACATAGGTACTACAGTAATAGGGTATTGGGCAGGGGGGAGGGGGGCGGGGGGGGGCGGGTATATACATACATAAGGAGTGAGATGTGCACCATCTGGGGGATGGTCATGCTGGAGACTCAGACTTGTGGGGGGCGGAGGGGAAATGGGCATTTATTGAAACCTTAAAATCTGTACCCCCATAATATGCCGAAAAAAAAAAAAAAAAAGATGAGAATAATCCCAGCAGAACAGCACACAGAGGGGCTGAGCAGCAAACCTGAAACTGGTGTGTGCCCCGAGGCAGAGTTGTGGCTTGCAGACCTCAGAAATAACTTCCTCGGAGGAGGATTGCCCCGTGCGTGTCTGTATGTCAGAACAGGAATAACCTTAAAGTTTCTTAATGGAGTTTTGAATGAAAATAAGTAATTATTATCATCATCTGCAGTATGGTACACAGCATGGTGTGAACTATTTTGACACACTGTTATCTGTGATCCTCAAAACAACCTTGAAGGTAAACATTGTGGTGCTTATTTTCTGGAAAATGAAACTAAAATGTGGATTGATTTAGTAACTCTCCCAAGATCCCACAGCTAGTAAATGGAGGTGCCAGGTTGCATGCACGCATCTTTCTGGCTCATAAATTTGTGTTTTTTCTACTGCGCTTACACAGATTCCCCCAGTCTCTGTGTTTTAAGGCCCATCCACTCAATTTTTCTTCAGAGGCGAGGAACAGCAACTCTTTTTATTTCTTTAGATCAGATGTGAGAAATTCTTTTCAACCAAGGGCTATTTACCACCTGTTTTGCATTAGCAAAACTATTATATGTTGCAAGGAGAGAAATAGAAAATGTTCCACTCATCTGATTTCAAACAACAAGCTCAGATGAAACTGTATTGAGAAAATACATCAAGTGAAAATATAGAGCACAGTTATTGTCAGTAAGAAAAAAAGGCAGAAGCATTTTTAAAATTTGCCAAAATTCTGGGTGGCAAAAATCAAACTCAGATATTGATGTTGTTGATCTTTAATGATAACAATTGAAGACTTATTAATTCTTAAGGTGGTTAATATTACCAGAGTTGATTATTAACAGTGTTTACAACCAAAAAGCTTAAAAGGATATTCTAATTATCTTCTTATTCTTATAGGGTGCTCATTGAAAAAAAGAAAGAAAAAAATTCAACTAGTATAACTTTGATCCTTTTTTGAAGTTACCTCCTATTTCTGTCATTGCTATTTGGTGAGCATTCTTCCAGGTGTCTCTGTGTACATATACATAGTGCCTGCAATGTTTACAGTGTTGTGATCATACTATTTATGCTATTCATTATCCTGGAGATTTCACACAACTGTAGATGCAGAAGAGCTTTTTTGAAATCTTCTTTCCCCTTCATTTTAGAGAAAGGAAAAAAACTTTCCTTTGGGAAATGCAGTGAGACCCATAAAAGTCTGCTCTCAAGGAGAAGTAGCTCCATCTTGTGGTTTTCTGGAGTATGGCCATTGAAGACTGCTGAAGTTCTGTTGTGTTTTTGCAACTCCCCTTGGAAGTGATGTCTGTCAGCTCTGGGACTTGTCCAGTGGATTTGATGGAAACCAACACGGGGCGCCCAACAATCCCTGTCTGCCTGTAGGGCGGGAGCGAGGGCTCTGTGATTACAGGTGCCCCTCCCCTTCACCCCTGCTCTAGTGGGCAATTTAGCTCGGAAATGTTAAAGTCTCAGTGTAAAACAAAACTGGGACTAGAGCCCAACCCTCCCAGCTTGCAACACTGGGCTCTCCAGTTTCCTCTTTGATCTCGACTTCAACACTGTTAAAGAAAAGTTGACGTTAGCAGCCAAGTCACTCTGCCTCAACCTTGTAGAATTGTCATCGTTGCTTTTGGATAGAAAATAGAGACCCTAGGTAGGGTGTAATTTCACATAAAAGAAATTCCAAAAAGGACAATCATGTGGCCTCTTTCCTTCACTATTTTATCCAATTTTTGACCTTACAAATGAGTTTGGAATGTTAGGGAATCTATCTCTTTGGAGATAAAATTGAGTTTTTTAATCTGTATATAGATGGTAAACACATTGGTAAATCTGATTGGTAAATAGCAAAAATGTGGTCATTTCCTATAAATAGGACCTTAATGGTTGGAGTTTTCACTTTGTATAAATTCTATAAGCATATTTATTTCACATCTAAACAAATAATCTTTTGATTGGATTTTTTTTTTCTTTCTCTCCTCTGCAGTACATAGTGGAATGTCATGGGGTCACCCTTCTTCCCCAATTCTTGGGCATGTACCGGCTTAATGTCGACGGAGTTGAAATATATGTGATTGTTACAAGAAATGTGTTCAGCCACCGTTTATCTGTATATAGGAAATATGACTTAAAGGTGAGATTAATTTTCTTAATTTTTGTAAAAATAACTCAAGATCATAGAAAATGCTTAGTAGGTGCTCAGAGCTTAACCACTTCAGTACCAGTGTCGACTATAGTCGATAGCCACAGATCAACGTGAGTGTTGACTTTAGTCGACAGCCAAAAGCTTTTGCTTTTATCTCTGCAGTTGCAGTGTGTACATTCAGCTAATAAGTTACTACAAATCTGTGACCTTTTAACAAGACCTTAGTAGGAGTTACTATAGTTATTTTCCTAAAGCTGCCTGTAAAGTAAAAAAACTTTCAGTGTTTTAGAGATTTCCTCATCACACAAGAGCAAAACGGATTTGTCGTCAATGCACAACACAAACTATCATGCGGACTGAGTGCCGGCTGTGGGCAAGGTTTTGTGGCCGGTGAGTACGGTACTGAAGTGGTTAAAGCTACCAGACAACTAGCAGTATATACACCTCTCAGTTAAGCAGTCAGTGCTTGCTGGCTCTACCGAAAGACTGTTGTGCATGTTAGAAATATACCGTTTACTCAGCACCAGCTACATAGCAGGCACTGTTCTAGGTGCTGGGAATAATGCGATGAACAAAACAGACCAAACCTGCACTCAAGGAGCCGACATTCTGGCGGTAAAGACAGGAAGTAGGTAAAAGAAATAAGTAAGCCATGTAGTATTATTTGGGAAGTGGTAAGTGCTATAGACAAAGAGGGGAGGGATATAGTTTTAAATAGAATGTCCAGGAAGGTTTCCCTGGGAAGATGACATTGGAGCAGACTTGAGGGTGATGAAGGATTGAGCTCAGGAAAGAGTGTCCCTAGCAGAGGGAACGGTAAGTACAAAGGCCCCCAAGATAGGCCATTTCAAAGACTTGGGGTGAGAAGGGGTCCACTGGAAATTCTGACAGTGGAGTGACGTGATCTGACTTCCAGCATCACCAACTCTCGGGGAAATGTCAAAGTTAGCTGTGACTGGCTTGAATGCCAAATCCAACTCAGGGGCCATTTTTACAAATAAAGTTTTATTGGAATATTGCCCTGCCCATTGTTTCTGTATTGCCTGTGGCTGCTTTTGCACTACAGTAGCAGAGTTGAATAGTTACTGCGGAGACTATTATGGACCACAAAGCCTAAAACTTTTACCCTCTGACTTTTCAGAAAGTTTGCCAACCCTGGTCCACCATTTGTTCAAGTTTTTTGGTCTCAACCCTTTCATACTTCTAAAAGAGGACCCCTCCCAAAAGGTTTTGCTTATATAGATTGTATCTGTGGATATTTACAGTATTCAAAATTAACATAAAATAGTTAAAATATGTTAACATATTTTTATGAAAATAACTATTTTCCAAAAGCAAAAATTAGACACTTTACATTTTTTGCAGATGTTTTACATTTTTACAGATTTCTATGATGTCTGACTTAATGTGAGACAGCTGAAATGTCATATCTAATTCTGCTAACAGTCTATGATAGTGTTATTTCATTGAGGTCTACAAAAAATTATAACTGCACACAAAATATAGCTGGAAAGGGACAGGGGGATGTTTTAATAACTTTTTTGGATAATTATAGATATACCAGAACTTGGCAAGAGGTGATTTCTCAAAGCTTAGTTACATTGTGGAATCTTAAATCACATCAATGAACTTTTAGTACTCTTTTCATCAAAATCCATTGATCTGTTTACATGCATTGGTCTGAAATGCAAAGTCAGTAAAGTTGTATACTTGTCATTTGGGACATATTTGTTCACCAAGTTATGTGACTATCACAAATATTGACACCTCATTATATATTATCAAAAAGTCACATCAATGTCACCACCAATGTTATCAGATAAGTCTTTTGCATTTGGGGAAGCTGTGAAGCTCAGGGTGGTGGATACAAGTTTTTTTAAAGTATACTTTTCACTTGAAAGCTCAAGTTTTATTATTGTCAACAAGTCCTGTTGTTTTCAAGGAAATGGCACCACCTACGTATGGCCTGGAGTTCCTCTGCAACAGCACTCAGCCAAGTCTAATAGCTTTGTTTGTTTCTGAGCCAAATATCTACCAGATGCCCAGATCCGAACAAACAGATTGTTTTTTAGTTGCTCTATCATGTAAATGTCTCATGGAAAAGGTGGCTAGTTTAGCTCATAACTCAAACCATCACAACAGTAGTTCTTGAGAAACCATTCCTTCTTTATAAAAAAGAAGTGCTTTTTGCATACTTCCTACGCAGAGTGTTGAAAAGGCATGTAACTCTGGGGTCAAGATTTGATGCAGTTCATTTTATTCTTTCATCAAGCAATAAATGAAGCATTTATTACTTCATATGCTAACTAGATGCCTACTTGTACATGGCACTGCCTTAGGCTTACAGAGGTTCAGCAGCTAACAAGCCATGAAAACCAGAGTTTGTAGCTTCGGAGGTTACAATAAAATGATGTCACATCTCTTCAACGATGCTAACTTTTTTATTTTGGGTTTTTATTTGGGATACCTGTTGGTGCTACTGCTCGATTTGTGCTAAGCTGCCAGCAGTTTTTCCCAGACAGAGAAAAAGGCAAATAACGTCTCCATATTATTCTAAAAATAGTTTTGACTTTGTAGCCTCCTACAAAGGTCTTGGAGGGCCCAGGGTTCTGAACCACACTTAGAGAAATGCTAGCGTAAGTGAAGGGAATGGTCGAGGCTTGTCTCCTAACCTGAGGTCAGACAAACTGGATCAACTCCCCAAACACAGCCTTGCCCTGTCCTGCCATCAGGTCTTAGCTCAAGCCATTTTGTTCCCCCAGAATTGCCCCTGGGGAAACCGCAGCCACCCTCCAGGGCTCTTGCCCGTGTCCACCGTTCTTGGAGCCTTTGTGGTGCTGCTCAGCGCACTCTGCTGAGTATTTCAGGAGCGTGAGCTGCTCCTACTCTCCCGTGGAAGAAAGGCAGAGTGACCTCTGAAGCCACACGTCCTGGTCTTATGGCTCGTGGCTCCTGGTCTTGTGACTCACAAGTGGCTGAACATCTGTGAGCCTCAGTTTCTTCGTCTATTAAAACAGGGATACTGGCTGGGCAGGGTGGCTCACGCCTGTAATCCTAGCACTCTGGGAGGCTGACGCGGGTGGATTGCTTGAGGTCAGGAGTTCTAAACCAGCCTGAGCAAGAGCGAGACTCTGTCTCTACTAAAAATAGAAAGAAATGAATTGGCCAACTAAAAATATATATAGAAAAAATTGGCTGGGCATGGTGGTACAAGCCTGTAAGTCCCAGCTACTCGGGAGGCTGAGGCAGCAAGATTGGTGGAGCCCAGGAGTTTGAGGTTGCTGTGAGCTAGGCTGACGCCACGGTACTCACTCTAGCCTGGGCAACAAATTGGGATTCTGTCTCAAAAACAAAACAACAACAAAAAAACAGGGATACTTTTACTTACGTTTGCAAGGTTGCTACAAAAATGGGGTGAGATGCAGATGTTGTGTTCAGCGTAAGGCATGGCATATTCTCCAAGTAAGTGCCTTAAGGGCAAGTGTTTGTTCTACTATTTTTTATCCCCCTGAAATGCCTAAGATAGTGCCTTAGACAGGTAGTGTCTAGTAAGCGTACCTTGACCTAAATTATACTTGGGGGTTTGGTATCCTAGTTTTGTCTTGCATTTCGTAATTTCATCTCCCCTTTTAGCTGGTAGAAGAGACAAATTCTGTTCTTGCCAGGACTTTCAGTTGTGTTGGAACCTGTCCATTTGGTATCATTTGATTGCTTAAACTCTCTGCCTTACTTTTTATTTTTGTTTTAATTTTTTATTGTGAATGAATATGAACTTGGATGAGTTTTTCTTTCCAGGCTAATGACCAGCATTTACATAGAGATGAAGTTTCCCTCAGAATCAGATGCAGAGTAAATTATTTTGTAGGAGGGGGAAAAAAAAACCCACATAAACCAACAACTTGGTTAAAGTTACAAAGTAGAATAAATAGCTTCTTTCCTCTACCCTGCAGTGTAGACAGTGTTCAAATATTACAAATGTCCCATTAAAAAGAAAAAATTGGGAACATTCTTTAGAAATTGATGTGTAAAAGAAGATATCTGTGGCCCATATTAAGGGATCCCCAAAGGAAGGAAAGTAGACCAAGGGTAGGGACAGTGGCTGGGCTCAGCTGTGCAGAGTGGCACGTGCCGGGGTGATGGGATGGGTCCTCAGGTTTTCTTTGATAAATGATTCACACGGGCCATCTCCATTTGATAGTGTTTTCCCGGGCAGGCAGCAGGGTCTCAGATACCCCAGTCCTGGGGAAGGAGAATTGCCCCTGGGGAGACGCAGGGCCTGGTCGTGGCCCCCTTCCCCAACACGAGGCGTCTCTTCAGTCCGAGTTTCTATGTCTGTGAGCCTGATCCATGCCCGAGCTGCTTGAATGAAAGTCGGTAATCATGTAAAACATTTTGATTTCTCTGGAAATGGCCAATCTAGAAGATGCTTTTGCTTTTCCCCAAGTCAAATATAAGCTCTTTCAGTGCTTGGCTAACTCAGGTATTCCAGGGCAGTAAATGTCGATTTCGGAGGTGGCCAAGCAGACAAAGGGCTTTGCTGACCCAGCAGCAGTTTTGGTTCCAGTGCTGGGAGGAAGGGAGCCCAGCACGTTGGTCTGTGATCTTTCACTGGCCATTGACTCAGTGAACGCTGAGCATCACCAGGCATCTGCTGGGTGTTAAGACACCACAGTAATCACCAAGAAACAGAATAAATAGTCATTGTTGTAATCACATATTTAGGAATTCACTAGAACATTTGTCTCCCAGCTCTTCTCTTGAATTAAAATCTTCCACAAGCAAAGGGAAGTTTCTCTGCTCGAATGCTACCCCCAAAGCCTCCCTGTTGGCATCTCAGGTGGACTCGGGTCATCTTGGACAACCCAGAGCTCTGAGGCGTAGTTTTGAAAACCACTGCAGTGGAGCAGCATCTGCTGAGATCAAGGACTGTGTTTTCCTCCACTTTTTGACTCTGTGCTCAGCATAGGGCCTGGCACAAAAGAGGTGCAAGTAAACGCTTGTCTTTGAAGGAACCTCCAAAGTAAAGAGGGTCAGAAAGTGGCCGTGGGGGACTGACACACGGCACGTGGGCAAGAAATGTCTGTCAGTGACCCGAGAATGGGGGAGAAAACAAAGTGCCATAGAAAAGGCAGTCGCAGGGCTGGGCCATGCCCACCACTGGAAAGGGGCACCTCATGCCTCAGTGGTCACCGCAGCTACTTCCACTTTGCAGATAAGAAGGCCAACCATTCTGGCAGCCGATGCGAGGAGGAAGGCATGCGTTTGATCCAGCGTTTAGTAAGTCATCGTTCAAGTGCTTTTCAGGTTTTCTGATTTCTGGCAGGTGGACAGAACCAGAGAAAGATAAGTGAGCGTGACAGAGTCAGGGCTGGAGCAGTGGCCAGTGGCCAGGACACCTGCAGAGGGAAGGGGCACCGGAGCCGAGCAGGTGCTGATCTATCTTCCTCTCTGCTCTGCAGGACTGTTTGCATATTCTGCACATGTGAAACCCGATGCCTCGAGTGTGCATGATTTTATTATTTCTTTGTATTGCAGGGCTCTACAGTGGCTAGAGAAGCTAGTGACAAAGAAAAGGTAAGCACCTTGCCACGTTCCTCTGCATCCTTTGGGGCGCACGTGAGCAGCCCCACTCGAGTGTGTTCTTTCTCTCTCGTGTCCCACCACTGCGGTTCTGCCGTTTCCCCTGCTGCTGCCACCAGCCAGAACGCATCCTCATAGACCCGAGGCGTGTTCTACTTCATTTCTCTTCCTTAGGTTGTTGAATCATGAAATAGTTGGGGGGTGTAAAAATGTGGTGGGAAGGAACATGCCACGTGCAGCACGCTCTTGAAAACACAGCCACCTGTGCCGTCAACGTGTGGTGGCAGTCGCGGCTCAGAGTGCGCTCCTGCAGGCCAGAGCCAGCCCGGACACCACTGCACCACTGACGAGCCGGGTGTGGCCCCGACCGTGCTGCTTTGCCTCTCTCGAGTCTGTTTTCTCACCTGTGAACTGTTAGCTTGGATGAGCTTCAAACTCCTTTCCAACTATAAAATGTTAAGATATGATCAGAGTATTCTTGTTTGCTTCAAAAATTAGGGATGAGGGGACCACATGTTTTTCTCTTCTCGTGATTCATTGGACCTTAGACAATATTTGATCCATATTTAGCTTGTCATACATGATTATAGACAGTGTCACGTTGAAGGATCAGTTGGAATGAGAATGTAGGGGGTAGCTTCCTGGGTGTAAACCTGAACTGACCCAGACGAGCATGTGCTTATATGTGAAAGGTGCCTTTATACTCTGCGCTTCCAACCCGTCACACCTTATTTGGGAAGTGCCGCCTTTTCTTGGGAGCAGGGCTCAAGGTTGGTTGTTCGTTAATTTTTTTTAGAATGATATCATCTGGTGTTCATTGGAATTTTTACAGATTTTTGTAATCTGCTTTCATTTATTCACTCAGAAGTATTTGTCCTAGCTTCAGGGGCTAAAATCATGAGCCACACAGACCCATCTAGCAGGGCATGCAGACATTAAATAGGAGGAGATGCTATCATGGGACACTGTCGGGGACACTTGGGGGACTCTGGAGCTCGCAGCAAGGGTACCTGGCTCAGGCTGTGCAGGGTCAAGGAAAGTCTTCCTGGAGGAGGTGATATCTGAAAACCTGGAGGAGGACAGGCAGGAGTTAGCCAGAGGAAGAGCAGGAGGTGCGAGGGCACACGGTGTGTGTGTGTGTGTGGGGGGGGATTGGCGTATTAGCTGGCGGGAGAGCTGGACGAGCTGATGGAGTCACCCCGAGGAGATGGGGGACGGAGCTGGGGGAGTGGAAGTGGGTGGTTTTCAGAGAGATGTGGAAAGATGAAGCGACAGAGCTCAGAGATTGAATTCCAGAGGTGATGGTGCCAGTGAGCGGGTGGAGAGAAGGATGTTAAGGATGACCTCCAAGTTCCTGCTTTGGCCAGTTGTGTAGGTGTTAATTCCTCTAACTGAATTAGGGAACAGAGAGGGAGGGAGTAGTTTAAAATGTCGGTATGGACCGGGCGCGGTGGCTCACACCTGTAATCCTAGCACTCTGGGAGGCCGAGGCGGACAGATAGCTCGAGGTCAGGAGTTTGAAACCAGCCTGAGCAAGAACGAGACCCCATCTCTACTATAAATAGAAATTAATTGGCCAACTAATATATATATGGAAAAAATTAGCCAGGCATTGTGGTGCATGCCTGTAGTCCCAGCTACTTGGGAGGCTGAGGCAGGAGGATCGCTTGAGCCCAGGAGTTTGAGGTTGCTGTGAGCTAGGCTGACGCCACGGCACTCACTCTAGCCTGGGCAACACAGTGAGACTCTGTCTCAAAAATAAAATAAAACATCAGTGTGACCTCAAAACAGAGATATCCCATAGGCATGAGAGGCTGTGCAGAGAGTCTCAGGTGGGGAAAAAGGGCTTGGGAATCCTCCCTGGCAGAATGGTCAGCAAAGACGGGGAAGTGGATGAAGTCACCCAGGAGGAGTGTGCCCACACTCCTCCTGGGTGTGTGAAGCTAGAAGAGAAGCTCATTAGAACCCACCCCGAAGAACATCTATTCTTTATAGGGTGGATGGAGACAGGGTCCCAAAAAGGATCAGCCAGAGGTGGGAGGTGAGCCAGGAAGGTCGGGGCCATTTGCACAAGTATTTATTGAGTATCTGCCAAGCACTGTTCGAAAAGACTCAGGGAATAAGACAGACACAGCCCCTACCCTCAGAAACTTGCACTCTAGTAACATCCCTGAAATCAGAGCAAGAGAACTTTCCAGTATCAGATGCTTCCACAAGGCCAGGTAGGATAAGGACAAGAATCACCTCTTGGGCTTATCAACAGGAAGGTCACCAGCAACCTTGTCAGCAAGGACAGGTGGTGGCCAGAGCCAGATTGCAACGCAGAGAGAGAGTGACAAAAAGAAAAAGGAAATGCTGGGTCCTTCCGTGACCATTTGCATTTTTACTATGCATTAGTGAACGTGCATCTTGACACTCACACCTCTGTGTAAACCACCGTAAAGTCACCAGCTTTGAACAGAAGCAGCAGAAACGATGACTCTTGACTTCTATAGTGAGCGTTTCTTCTAGGTGTCAAAGAGAAGCCCATGAGAAGCTCAGAGGTTTAGTACAATTGGGGCTTTCTCCTAGGAGGAGATATCAGGGTATTTACAGAGGCAAACGCATTCCTGAGCATCCTGGCGACAGGCCAGGCCCGGAGTCAGATCCGTGGACAGGAGGACATCACCCCCCCCACTCGGGTTGCTCTGTTTTTGCTTCTTTCCCCCCCACCCCCAGTCCCTTGAGACTACCACTCGCAGAACTTTTTCCTTTGTTCAATCTGATTTCTTCAGGTTCGGTCAACAAGGGCTCGTTCTGCCCTGACAGTAACCGAGCCCATGAAAGGCAGTGACAGCTGATGGTGTGGTCGCTGCTGACACCTAAATCGTAAAACAGGGACACGTAGGGAGGAAAGCCACACGTTATCTGACTGCCTTGTCACTGTGATGCTGCCTCAGAAGCAGAACATCCACTTAGCCTTCCCTACCTTCTCCCTCCACCTGTGGCACTACACGCTTTCCAGAAACCTCCGGCGTGCGCCACAGTCCCACTGCCCTCCTCACCAAAGAAATGTGTAGCCGCTTTATTGATGTAGGATTCTGTGAAAAGAAATGAAAATTTGTTTGAACACAAGCTTGCTTTTCTGAGCACTTTGCTAGGATACTTTTATCCTGTGTGTATTAATGGTATGAGTGTGTGGTGATCGTTCCTCAAAACATCTCCCAAGGAGGTGGGTTTAGTGAGGCTCCCGCCCCGCCCCGCCCCACGAGAGATTGGAGACTCAGAAGCTCACGTCCATGTGCAGCATGACACAGGTAGCGACAGAGGCAGAAACCTCTGGGATTTAGCTTTTTTAATTTTCTTTTCGGCGTGTCGGGGCTGAATTATAAAGGTGAATATTAATAACTGGCACGTGTTGAGTATAAACTATATGACATTTGCTGTTGTAAATTGTACCATGAATTTCGTCTGTAATCCTAACAGCAACCAGATGAGATCGGCACTGTTATTACTTCCTTTGAGTAGAAGAGGTTACTTAACAGGCAGGATCAGTAACGTGTCCCAAGTTCAACAGTTACGAGGGACAGAGCCCGGGTTGGAGCCCGGGAGCGGCGGTGCCAGCTCACATGCTTCTAGCCACTGTGCCACACTGCCTTCCAGATGTTTCGAAGTTCTCTTTCTCTCTTCTCCTTTCTTTTAAGGACATATTAACAAAAAGTCACGTTAATCCCATTAATCATAAGAATGAATAAGGAAAAAGGTACTATTAATACATTGACAAAAACATTGTTTCAGAGTTAAATATGGTGCTAAAACAATTCACTCTAAGTCTTGATTTTTTTTTAAGTATTGAAATAAATTATTTCATTTCATACTATGTTGGCAATGCAACCAGTTTTTAGTTCCTCTGTTTGAGGAGTTTGAGCTTTTTCGTACATAGTTTCAAATATGCATTTTGTACATTACAGTCTTTGTCACTGTGTAAACATTAAAATTGTGTACACTGTTGCCCTGAAGAAGAGTTCAATGCTATGTCCTACTTTGGGGGCTGGAGGTTTGTGATAGCTCTTCTTCCAGAAGGCAGAGTCTCTAGACAGCTACTCCACCCCCCCTTCTAATCTAGAAAGGGCAGAGAGGAAATAGCTTGGAGATATGGAATGTAAAAGTACTAAAAATTAGTAATTGATAAAGGAGCACACCTGCCTTGGTAGTAAGGTATTTTCTCTCTCAGAGACAGCAGTTTGTTTATAATCTAGAAACATGTATTAAACTATAATAGAATAGAATCTATTAACAGAGCTTAAAAAACTGAATATTTTCAGAAGTTTTAAAAAAGAATTTGCTTTCCTTTCCCTACTAATGTCTGGGTTTTGTTTCCATGATCAGTTAGTACGTTTTTGACTCTTCCAAAAATCATACGATTTGTTGTCTTCACAAAGTAAACCATAAATGCTATCAAAACAATCACTGGTAGCTCCTGTTTGAAATGTATAGGGAAGGCTAAAAATATTTTCTACATGTTAGCTTTTTATAAATGGAATCAAATGATTTATAAGAATATTTTTTTCATTGCTATCATTTTATAGCTATATTCTCTTCAAAATGATTGTTACGGTGCAGAGAATAATTTTCATAGGGAATCTCCGTTGACGTGGCTTAATTAGTAATCTCAATTCTTATTCTTAGATTTTCTTTCATTGGAGTCATTATAACTGTTTTAATTTCCCATACTTTTAACTTGTTGATGACAAGTTTTGAAACTGTCGTTTCAAATATTTAGTGATATAGGTGCAGACAAGTCCCATTCCTTAGATTTCAACTTGACACATAATTAGTGTGATCTGCATTAGCATAATAATGAAGATGGAACTGAAAGAAATAAAGAAGTTATATTCTAACAATAATGGAATCACTTTCATGGCAACAAGTCTCAGAACATGCATGTACAGATGTCTTGAATTTTTTTTTTAAAAGAGCACAGAACAGTTTTTTTTTTTTTAACCGTTGTCAAA